CCCTTCACATGCGTCTCTGCTCAGATCCTGCCCGAGGACAACGGGAGAGAGGCAGAGAGCGAGGCGGCTGGGGAAAACCTTGGCAGGAAATGATGCTCCGAACAGGTGCCCTGGGATGCAAAACATCTGCAAAGGAGCATTTTCTCTCCTAAGGCCCAGGGCTTCCAAACCTCAGAGGCAACTGTTTACTTGAACACTGAAAGAGAACGGGCCTCCTTGAAAAGCCCGGTGCTTGCGTCCCTTCAGCTCCCTCTACACAGGCCTTTGACACCTACACCGAGCTGACCTCACTGGAGGACAGGACTTCACTGGTGGGTCAAGAGCCCGTTCATTGCAAGCATGACTCTCCCAGTGCTTGCCTTGTGCCTTTAGAGAGAACAGAAAATCGCCCTGCCGCACAAAGAAAGCAGGGGCCGGGCTTCCTTCAGGCAGACCCCCTGCCTCAGACAGCTCCCTCCTCTCCAGGCCATAGGTTCAAACCCTTCTGGCTTGGCATTACACTGATTTGCTTTCTGACAGGCCATGATCAATTATTTCATTGTTACCGTAAAGCCTACGGAAGCGGGAATCTGTGTCCGTCAGACATGTGTCAGGGAAGGAAAACGCAGCTATTGTTCCCCGATGGAGAAATAATCCCAAGAAGGCAGTTTTGGTAAGTTCGGCTCTCAGAGGCCTCGCTGTATTATTTAAACGACCCCCTTCCCAAGGTACTTGGCAAAGCGAAAGGACGCGCCGAGAAAGGGCACTGGAGCCGTTTCCCTAGTCCCTGGGGAATGGTGACTCTCGCCACGCTGGAGCGGTCACCCCACCAGTAAGGTATGTGTTGAAAGTGGTCGCAAGTTAACAGGTCAGATCAGCCCCTTGGCGCTGTTACCAGGGAGGAGGAGGCCTCTGCCCAGCATGCCCAAGCCCTGTCCTACTTGAGAAGGGGCTGGAGTGAGTGACCCTGGAATTAAGGTAAGCACAGGCTTCCTTGTGCTTACTTATTCATCCGTAGGGAGGTGGTTCCCTAGACAGGGTGAAACTCATGTGAAACTACTCACTGTGGGTTAGAAAGTAAGCATAAGTAAGCTTGTGCTTACCTTGGGCACCCTGTTCCTGAATTGAAAAATAAACTATTGATTCTATAAGAAGGTGCTGCTGGGTGAGAAGACAGACAAATGTCAGCTACACCTAGAAGCATAATTTTTAACTACAGATTAGTGAGCAAGCACAAGTAAGTCCATGCTTACTTTGCTGACTGGGGAATCAGCTGCTGAGAAGGAAGTATTTCTTAGAGCACAACCAAGCTGCGGCCGATGTCCCAGGAGGAGAGCTGGAAGAGCCAATGCTGAAAGCCCTGCTCTGTTTAACTGTCCCCAATATGGCCCGGCTCGTACCTTTCTGTCTGTGTGAGAGTTTGATAAGACCTCTTTCAAGAGTGAGGCTCTGGCACGGTGCCCGGGCAAAGTAAGATGCTTGGTTGACGCAGAAACAGAATTTGGATCTATATCTGACACCAGTAAAGCCCACGGTCAACAGCATCCTCCTAGAATTTTTGGCTAGCACACTAACACTTACGCAGATGAGCAAAGCACACCTGGCCCTAGAATCAATTCATCTCTAAAACTCATTCCAGTGGAAAACGTCAATGTTCTGAACATCAAATTCTGGACTCAGATAGCAGTTGAGAAGATGCTGGTTGGAGTTTCATTCTCATCTCTTCTTTTTTCTCCTTAATTTTTGGACAAAACATAGGCAAAGAAAGAAAGAGGGGCCCTACATAATCTGTTCAGTGAAGTCTCAAATCTGGGAGGAAAAGGAGGGGCAGCCTCCTCTACCCCCACAGCACACCAACTGTGGCTGTGGTGTGAGGATGATCTGGCCTTCTCAGGATGGCAGAGGTCAGGTGCTCGACTGCTAACAAAAAAGGCTGGTGGTTAGAAACCACCAGCAGCTCCATGGGAGAAAGAGGGGCCATCTGCTTCCACGAGGATTACAGTCTGGGATCCCTCCGAGGCCATTCTCCTCCGCCCTATAGGATCAGGATGAGTCGGAATGGACCCATTGCAGCAGGTTCGGTTCAGTTGGATTTCCTCTGGCTGACAACAAGGTCTGCAGTTCGAAAACACCAGCTGCTCCACAGGAGAAAGAAGAGGCTTTCTGCTCCCGTACAGACTCCTAGCTAGGGGGCAGTTGTGCTCTGTTGCATGGGACCTTGACAGCCATGAGTCTAATAGCTCTTTCTGGTGCGTGTCAACTGCATGTCTCTTGACTACAAATTTGTACATCGGAAAGAAACACCAGTGCACGGATGCAGGACTGCAAATGGGACATGGGGAAGACGCAGGCTCCACTGGCTCTCGATATCCCTCCTCTTCTGGAAAGACCTATGTTACCATTGAACTTATCTTCCACATCGGATCGATATGAACAGATCGGAGATACAGCTCATCCCGAGGAAGTTCCTGAACTTGAATAAAACCTGTTCTAGCAAACAAACAAATGAGCACCCAAACAAACAACCCTTTAGGAAACTTACCATTTTGGTGATCTCGTCTCCAACTTCATGAAGGTCTGAATGTTTCTCCAGAGTAGCATTGAGAGAGGTTTTCTTTAACTTTAACTCTGTCACAAAAGTTCTAACTGAAAATGAAAACACGACCCATTAGACCCCATGTTGGACGGACCGGCTCCATGGTGTGTTTAAAAAGCATTTGTGGACTGGCCATCCTTTCTGCAGATGCACCCCACAGGACAGTCTCTGGGGAGAGCTTTCTCTTTGAGAATGGAGCGTCCTCTCTGCCTTCTGAGTTCCCCCTCTAATGAAGTAAGCAGCTAATGGACTGGGCTGAAGGCTCAGACTGAGGAAACCTTTGGTTGAAAGATTCCAAGGGATTCCTTGTGGGTCCACATATGACAGATGCTTAATAAGCTGACAAGGAAGAAAGATAAGCCGGTCTGAAGGCGAGGGAGAGGTGGTGCTAGATACTACAACGTTTGTCCGGTCTGCCAAAGCGTCAGAGGAGTGCTCTGGCTCTTCGAAGCCCGTTGCCAAGTTTACCCTCAACTTCAAAGGGCTGCTTCAGTTTTCTTTCTCATTAGAGCCATCCCCAACCCTCTGGCTTGGAGGAAATCGCTTCCAAGTGCCAAAGATAGCATTCAAATGCCTGTGTGTTCCTCTTCCAGGCTCTTCTTCGCCCACACACCCTCTGTTCCCAAAGGCGTCAGGCGGAGCCGAGGGGCTGCAGAGAAAGATGCCCGATGGTTGGCAGTGGTCGCACACTGCAGGGGCTGCCAGACTCCACCATCCCAAGCCAGACAATGAAACCATGCACAGAGAAGATGTGGTGGGTTCAGAAAGCAAAGGAGACAGCCCCGTTTTCAAGGCCCATTTCCCTCATAAAATAACATCGTAGTTCACACCAATTTGTGCCGATTGGGCCTGAGGGAACTGGGACTTAAATATGGGCAGGCAACCAAAAAATGAATGCCGCCTGCTTTATAGCTAGCTCTTAGGTCCCTTTGTATTAAATCCTTATCTTTCCCTGTGGAGGAGGGGAAAGGCTCCCTCCCTCAAACACAAAAAGCCCGAGAAGCCGTTCTTTGACAGAAAGCTTGCATGCTGAATTAAGAAAAAGGCCCAAATGAGCCAGGGAAGACATTTAATATCTTATACTTTCTGTCTAAAGCCTTTAATCCTTACTTAACATCTTTCTGCTTGCTCTACAGTTCAGTGCAGCCAGCTGCTCAGGACTCTTTCGGAGCTGCAGGGAGCTCTTTGAAAACATTCTTGGCCAAATGAAAGCATTTCAGCATGCTCTAATTTGCATGTTCCTCTGATGTTTATGAACAAGGAAGCTAAATGCCTTGAAAAAGGAAAGAGGACTGTTAGCACAACAGAATTGCTCTCCTCCAGATCCGGACTACCTGTGGGACACTCCACACACAGGCTTCCCAAACAGCCACCCCACTCCTTGTCCGCACAGCCCATCAGGTGATACCTAGCCTCTGAGCAACACTTAGACTGCAATACCTGAACGACTGTCCTGAGACAACCTTGAAACCCTAAACCAAAAATAGTCTCTGAAGCCCTACTTAAACCGAACAATAGTTTAGCTTAATTTTGAAAGAAGTTTTAGATCAGAGTAAGTTATAACAAAGAATTGGAATTCCAGAACATTTCATTGTGCTCATGAAGAACCTGAACATAGACCACGAGGCAGATGTTTAAACAGAACAAGGGGACCCTCTGTGGTTTAAAAATCAAGGAGGATGTGCACCAAGGCTACATCTTTTCACAACACTTGTTCGATGCGAACGTCGTTGTTGTGTTCGGTACTGTCAAGTCGGTTCCAACAAAGGTCGATCCTACGCACAACTGAACAAAACACTGCCCAGTCCTCTCGTCCTCACAATTGTTCTTATGTTTGAGCCCATTGTGACAGCCACCGCGTCACTCCATCTTGTCGAGGCCTTCCTCTTTGTCACTGCCCCTCTCCTGTACGAAGCATGATGTCCTTCCCCAGGGACTGGTCTCTCCTAACAACGAGTGTCTGCAGAGGAGATCATGCAAGACGTTAGACTACATGCGGAAGAACGCAGCATCCGGATCAGAGGAAGTTTCGTTAGCAAACTGCTATACGCAGGTGGCACAATCACAGTCACCTTGCTGAAAGCAGATGGAGATAGAACACAGATAAAGATAAAGCACAGATAAAGATCAAAGACTTGAAACACAGATAAAGATCAAAGACTACAGAGTGCAGTAATGGATTGCAACTCAATATGAAGAAAAGCTGTCACAATGGGCCAGGAGACAATACCAGGATAAATGGTGAAAAGACTGGCCTTATCTAGGATTTCATGTTATTTGAAGCTACAATGAATGCTCACGTAAGCAGGAGTCAAGAAAGCAAATGATATATACCACAGTGGGCAAACCTGCTGCACAAGACCTCTTTCCATTGTCGAAGAGTAAGGCTATCATTTCAGGAACATGACCCAAGCCAGGGTATTTTCAATCACCTCCTACCCATGTGAATGTTGGGCAATAAATCAGGAAGACCACAGCAGAACCGATGCATCCGAATTAAGGTACTGACCCGGAAGACCGAATGGACTACATGGACTGCCAGAAAAACAAACAGTTCGACCTTGGGAGAAGTGAGCTTCTGTCTCACTTTGGAGATGTTATCAGAAAGGACCAGTCCCTGGAAAAGGCTATCAGGCTTGATAAAGTGCCAGGTGGTACGACCCAAAAAACGGAATTTCTTTTTCAAAACTGTGTGCTTGAATTTTTTTTGCAAAACAACTTTATCGACTTCAAAGTGATCTCCACGACACTTAATACATCTGTCAAATCGGTGATTCCATTCTTGGAAACATTTTAAAAATTCATCAGTTTGGATGGCTGATGGTACCTCCCTCAATTTTTTCTCCACCTCTTCTTCATCGTCAAATCGTTGTCCTTTCATGTCCCTCTTCATTCATGGAAACAAAAAGAAGTCCCATGGAGTGAGGTCAGGTGAGTGCGGTACGTGGGGCAAGAGAGGCAGGCTTTTTTTTGCCCCAAATTGGAACACCAAGATGGCTGCGTGAGCAAGTGCATTGTCGTGGTGGCAAAACCAGTCCCCCATCTGCCCCAAAGCAGGCCTCTTTTGATCACTCACTGCTAAGCAATCTTTTTCAGAACCTCTAAGTAGAAAGCTTGATTAATAGTCTGACCTGGTGGAACGAACTCCAAAGGCACTAGCCCCCTCACATAAAAACAAACAAACAAATTGAGCGTTGTCTTCATCTTTGATTTCATTTGATGAGCTTTTTTTTTGGGGGGGGGGCGGTGAGGTGATGATGGCGTCTTCCACTGGTGTGACTGATATTTGCTTTCAGGGCTTGATTGATAGTTGCATCATGTCTTATCACCAGGAACGACCTTGGGGAAAAAATCTGGGTCGCTTCAGAGCTGTTCTTTAAAAGCTCGTCATATTTCCTCTCAAAGATCTTTTTCTTGGTCACTCAGCACCCAAGGCACAAATTTCTCAGTGACCCTTCTCATTCCCAAATCTTCCTTTAAAGTTGGCCAACTTGAGCTCCAAGATAGGCCAGCTAACTTCCCCATCTCTTCAGTGTCATCAGTCTTCCAGCCCAAGTATACAAATGTTGTCGATATTTTCATCCGTTCAGGAAGTTCATGGACATTCAGAACAAGGTTTGAACAAGGTTCCCCACCCCACCCTTTATTTTATTTTTTTCAACCAACATGTCACCTTTTTGGAAATGAGAAAACCACTTGCACATTTGAGCTTTTCCCATAGCACTGTCCTTGTACGCTGTGTTCAACATCACAACAGTTTCTGTGGCATTTTCCCCAATCAGGAAACAAACTGTCACAGCCGCATGCTGTTCTCTTAAATCACCAACCCCCCAAACGAGGTTTTTTGAGTGAAACTGCTTTTAGGAAAAAATTCACTGTGACCAAAGAGAACCTTCCCAGGTGATGCCACTGGATGCGCTAACTCAGAGTAAGTTGCTTGATGCTCACCTAGCGGGAAAATGTGTACTATGAAACCTCTGTCCAGCAGAGCTTTTTTCCTTTTTTGGGGAGGGGGGTACTTCCCCCCTCCCATAAAGGTCAGCTAAAAAAAAAAAAAAAAGAAATGCATCTAAGGAGGTGGATGGATATGGTGGCTGCAACAATGAGTTCAAACAGGGCAACAATTGTACAATGGTGCAGGATCACACAGGGGTTCATTCTATTTTTTTATTCTAGGATTGCTGAGTGTGTTAGTCTGGGTACTTCAGGGAAACAAATCCATAGAAGCTCATGTATAAGAGAGAGTTTTATATAAAGGTTAAGTGCGCATCCAGAAAACATCCCAACCCAGTGCTGGCCAAGCCCACAAGTCCAACATTAACACATTAACCCATATATCCAACACTAATCCACAAAGTCCTCCTCTGTCTCACAAAGCAGACGCAATGACACCGACTGCAGGAGGAAAGCCGAGTCAGTGAATGTGTAAACGTCTCAGCGCTGGCAGGGGTCTCCACACAGCTGCTCCAGCACCCAGGGTTGCATCGGGGTAGGTCCATGTGGCTTCTCCTCAGGGATGTCTTGCAGGAAGTGAGCCTTGCCAGCTGAAGCAGGGAACTGGCTAAGGCAGCTGCACCCTGGTCCGACCATCAGAAAGCAAGAGACCCGAGAACTGGAAAGGCGAGGCTCACTGAGCCATTTAAACCTCTGCCCTTCAATTAACCCCACATGTGTTTATCAGCCAGGTTGGCACAATAAACTACCTACCTCACTGAGTCACTCGAACCAGCTGGTAGGCACCTGAGAACATCAAGGAGCAGCTGTGCTCTTTTAAGAGCTATGTGTGGGATAAAACTGACAACAGCAACTTAAACTTGTTCCTATTGTTCGAGGGGCAGTAAGTTTATGTTATTGGGGGAAGTACAATTTGGAAGAGGAGGCCTGTGCTGCAGAGTTTGAAGAATGTAATCCAGGTCGCTGAATTGTACTTGTAGAAACTAATGAATGGGTGCATTTTCTGCCGTGCATATGGTCAACAACAAAATATGAACATCAAAAAGCCAGAAATGTATGCATTGTCAACGTCAAGCACACAGCTCTCACGTGGATCCCAAGAGAGGCTGGCCGCAGCGAACAGGGCTTCAGCTTTCACTGTGAATATGGAGATGGAGTTCCTCCATCTTCTCCCCATCCCTTCAGGCCAACAGTACAGCAGCTGGCTTAAAGTCCAATTTTCCCTTCAAATTTAATCGCTGGTGCCCATACGGTATTGAAAATGAATTTTTAAAAAAGATCCATCTTATCTATTTTCCTAGGAGTCTATTGCTTTTAATTCTGGTCTGAGAGGTTGAAGAACAATGTGAACCGATACCACCCATCTGGAGAGCTCGCTGCCATTTCCAGAGCTTGTTCAAGTACCTATTGTATGTGATCGCCATAGTAGCCCTGTGCATAAAGCAGAACAGCCCGATTTTACAGGTGAGGAAACTGAGGCTCAGTGACCTGGGAGGGCTGGGGCCAGCAGCTGGGCACTGAGCACTGGGGACGGGAACCTTGCCACCTCGTTTCAAAATAAGATCATTTCCATCTTCTTCACTCTCGAATGAGACTAAAATTGCTGGCATGCTGCTTACTGGGTGTGGCCGGATGGAACGGTTATCCAAATTCAGCTAAGTTACTCGAATATAATGAAATCTTGATTTTGACTGACGGTTATATGTCTAGATCTTCTCTGTAAATACTATTTTGACATGATCCTTAGACTTTTCATCAACTTTCAAAATTCTAGTTATCTTAGAAAGGTCTGAGATCCCTTACACTCCACGTTACAGAACCTCCTACAATTCGTGCTCTGAAAGGGCAGGCATTTATATTCTCAAAAACTAGGTACTGAGCTAAATAGTTACCCAACCCCCTCTTTTTTTTTTCTTTTCAAAAACCCGTTACAATTTATTTACTATTTAGTACCTTTAAAGGGCATACGTGGCATCATTGTAAATTATGAAGCATAAAAATAAGACTGATTTAGGAACCGTGTGGACTTGGCTTCTAATTCTGGAACAGAATATCCCCATGGTTTCAAAACGGCTGTCTGCTCTTCAGAAATTACAATCCCTTGCCCCCATTCTCTCTGTCCAAGGTTTCTATTCCGTTTGTTATTCTCATGTTTAAAAAAGGAAAATTCATTTTCCCGAATATATAGAGTCAACATGAACTCAACGGCAGGTGCTTTTTGTCGGTCTGTGGTGTCGATCCAGCTGACTCCTGGAAACCCCACGGGCATGTGTACAGGACTTTGTAGCTCAGTGTTTCCTCCGTCTCCTCTGCTGTTTGTTTATTTATTTACTGACCATTTTTCATGTCTGAAGTGTTACTCTGTAGAATGTAAGATGATTCCCGTATGCATCACTTCACCTGCCAGTTTCCTTAACCCGCTCGGATGACGCTAGGGTTTTTCAGTCTAATTTCTTCGGCGAGTTACGTACTGAGCTTGGCAGTCTCCCAAGAGCTCTGTCCTGGACGCAGGAAAACGTCTTGTGTGTTTGTGCCACAGAAACAACTGTGGGCTGCACATGAAGTTTCTCCTCAGCTTGGTGGCAGGTCTAGCCCCTCAGCACCTTCGCCGGTCTCCATTTTCATCTGGCTTGTTTGTTTACTTTTTAACCCACAGAATGGAGATAACGCTTCAAACCCACCAGCTTCACAGAAGCGGGGACAAAACACGATGGATTAGAAGGCACAATCACAGCAGCAGCTTTGTAAGACGCACCTGTCTGTGGACATTTTACATTAAGGTCGTGTTCAGAAATGAAACGAATATGTGAAGTGGTCTGAAAATCAGGGTTTTTATCTCTTTTGTTCTCTCCCTGAAACCGGGGAAGGGGGCTGTTTTAAATTTTACTGAGATGTTAAAATAGCCTTTTGATGATTTTCCTCCCCTAACTACAGGTGGGGCAGGAAAGCATATGAGGCCAGGCACAAAGATGGCAGGTTATGAAGTCATTAAGATGCTTGGATGATATTTTTAATTACCTGGGAAAATGGATAAGACAGTTTGTACCTGGAGCATATGATTTCCACCCTGTAAAACTGGAATGCACACCACACAGGGTGAGAAAGCAAAGGTCAGGGTTCATAGGAAACGCCCCCACTTCTCTCTCTACTCCTTAGGCTTATCCACTGGACAAACAGTAATTTGAATCGGGGCGTGGGGCGGGTGGAAAGCAGTACATTTTGTAGAATGTATTGTGGTAGAAAAAAAATTCCCACATAAACCAACTCTCTTACCCAGGTTGCATATTCCTTTTTCCAACTGGTACCCAACCGGGCATCTGCAGGTGAAGGATCCCTGAGTGTTGTCGCAGGTGGCGAGGGGTGGGCAGGGGTCCAACAGGCATTCATTCACATCTGCGGGGACAGCAAACCAGAGCCAGTGGACACGATGGCGGACAGCGTGACCACACCGCAGCCCAAGGAGCACGTGGCAAGGAATGCTGGCGCCAGTGCTAGTACAGTGGAGCCAGGGGGTGATGAGGAAGCCACCACCCTGGCCTTCAGAGCCTGATTGTCCATTGAGGGATAGGCAGCCATGCAAATAACTAACGATAGAGCTATCAAGTCATGGCAACGCCAGGAGGCAGAGCAGAACTGCCCCATAGTGTTCCCCAAGGCTGTAACTCTTATTACTATTATTTTCTTTTAAAAATCATTTTACTGGGGGCTCGGACAACCCTAATCACAATCCATAACCCATCCGTTGTATCAAGCACATTTGTACATTTGTTGCCATCATCATTCTCAAAACATTTTCTTTCTACTTGAGCCCTTGGTATCAGCTC